AGCATAAAGAAAGGAAGTTCCTGCAGGCAGCTCCAGCTGTAGTATGTATTTTTAGAGGTGAGGACTGACACCAAAATGTTGCTATCCTTTGTTTTGGAAAACTGAAAATTGTGCTATTTGGGAATAACAGGAAGCATGTCTGTGCTTGGGTTGTATTTAGCAAAATTGCACCAACCGAAGTATCTTCCTGTACTTGGGTGTGGATGACTGATCACGTTTGCAAACTGCAGGCTGAGTATTTCATTCTTGTCAAGCATCTGGTTTTATTGGAGGGGACAACAACAACAACAACAAAAAACCCATAACAGGTGCAATGATCTAGCTGCAACATGCTTCAATACAGTTCAGCTTAAAGAGCCCTGTTCACAGTTGGGTTCTCTCAGTACCTTTATAATCCATTTTGGATAATCCTTATCTTTCTTTTCTACCTATCCTAGCTTTAGCCCTTAAAACAAGTATTGTAAAATACTTTTTAAATCTAATTCTGACAATGATAAAGCTATATGATTCTTTTTTTTTTTTGAATCTTGCTCTAAAGAGGAAAGGTAAGCAGATGTTTGTTGTTTTGGAGAAACACCACTTGATACAGGTTGTCCTGTCACTGACCTACCTCCAGTTTATAGAGGGCACACCTAAGCATTAGAGTCGATCGCTCATTTCTCTGACAGACATTCCTGATTTGGTCTTCTAAGACTACATGATCTGTTTGTTTAAATATTTTCTACTGGATAAAAAATAGCATCTACGCAGATGAGGTTTGCCGCAGTGGTGCAGTACCTAGGAGGAGGAGTGCAGTCTGCCACTGTTATAGTGCTGGCTTGTTATGTAGTTCAGTGCCAAATTTTGCCTTCTGTTCCTCTCTTATACTTCCTTGGTCAGCTTCCCGAAGTGTGTTTTAAGTCCCACCTTTCTGATCTTGCATAAGGAGGGCTTTTTTATGGTCAAGATGTTTAAGTAACTATGGAGAACAGGTTACTTGTTCATTTACTTTGTATTCAAAGCCCATAGAAAGTACTCAATCTTCTAGTTTTTGCTGTCTTTGTTACAGGATTTGCTGGTAAAATAAACACGGGTTGCACTTAAGTATTTGGGGTAAATTTTTAACCTCTTGAGAGTATCCAGCCAGTTGACAAACTGCAGACAGATGTAGGTTTCAGCTCAGTCAAGATTTATAACACAGCACAGCTATCTTTATAAGATGAGGAAGAAGATGCTTTCTCAGGGTCGCTTAGGCATTACAGACTGAAGCTAGTCCATTAAATGCAAATTTTTGTTGGGAAGATGGAATAATGTTGGGAGAAGTATCAGAAAGGTCAGCTATTTTCAAAACTTAAGGATGGCCTGAATGTAGGTTTAAGAATCACTTATTTTGGTTGTTAATATGTTATACACCTGATTTAGAGCAAGTGATAATCTTTAATGCAATTTTTACTATTTATGTTTGCATGCAAAGCTACTTAACAATTTTAGGTTTACTGCTGTGAGCTGTAAACTGGTTTTCTAGCTGACTGTTGAAAGCTTTTTGAAAGTACTTGCATGAGTAGAGTACCTAAGAGCCTGTGTAAGCGCTGTTGAGATTACAAAACTCCCCAAGCAGAAATCAAGGCAGGATGCAAAGTTTTAAGCAGGCTACTGATAGAGTATAACATCTCATTTCTATCCAGTGAAATCCCTTAATAGATAATTCTCCTTATCCACTTTCTTTTTTCTTTTTTCCTAATAAATCCTGTGCAGTCCTGTGCCACGTGCTTTAGGTGACCCTGCGTGTGCAGGGGGGTTGGACTAGATGATCTCTAGAGGTCCCTTCCAACCCTAAGTATTCTATGATTCTATGATTCTAATCTCAGGATCTCTTTTCTGTTGTTTATCTTGTCTTCGGTGACTCTGCATTATGGAGGTTATTTCCTTCAAAAATCTTTAGCCAAATTTGCATATCTTGCATTTTTTTTCCTCTGTGAATTCTTAGTGACTCCTTTCTCTCTTTTGGTTCTCCCTCCTTCCTTTCCAAAGGACACGTTTCAGCATTTGTCTCTCACTCCTCCAATTACCTTTTCTTTCTTAAATACTAATTTAAACTCTGTTCTGACTGAGCTTCTATGTATACAGTAGCAACTATATGATCTGTTTTGAACTCATCAACTCCAAACCAGGGTATTTTGCAGGAAAGCAGATAAAATATGTATCTATATAACATGTAAACTAAATTAAGATGCACCATTGGCTTTATATGTTTACCTTATTGTTTGTATCATGGGTTTTCTCTGTGAAACCTACAGTAATTTCTGCCTGAGTGGAGCTGCAAACTTCTCATACTCTCCATACTGAGAACTTTAAATCAGCAAGAATTCTTGCTGATTACATATTAAATATGTAATCTTACATATTAAATAATTCATCCAGATCTAAATCTTTTCAGCATTTTTGAAAGGTATCTTTAAGCATCGTCTTTGAATCATTTGCTTCCCATCCATTGCCTAATTTGGGATTTGACTGTCACAGGGCCAGCAGGGGGAATGCACTTAGATGCCTGTGCTCAGCTGAGCCCTTACTATCTCATAGTGGAGATACTTGAGCGTGGGTGGGAGCCGCTTACCAGGTGAGATGTTCACAGCACAATAGTGGCACCTCTCTTTCTCCAAGGCACATGGTGTTTCTGTCTATAGCACTGAAACACAAGGAGAACAATTCTGATCAACAGGACAATTCTTGAAGTTATCCCCTACTCTTACAGTTCTCCTCTTAAAATCCTATTTTGCTGTAATTAATTTTTAAGGAAAGGCACAAAGAGTGGCCAGGAGAGTGTTACAGCAGATTTATTCACTTTTATTTTTCAGATGTGCGCCCTGGCATAGTTGCCCAACTTTCATTTAACTAAAACCAAATTACTCACATTCCTTTTTGTGCTTAAAGGCAACTCTAAACTGTGCTATCTTGTAGTTAAGGATTTCTGCAGCAGGAGAAAATTGCTCAGGTACAGATAGCTCAGTCTGCTTTTGCTCCTGGCAATAAGCATGGTCTGAAGACCCAAAGTACTAAGTCAGACCTGCCTAGAACTGCTTTGCACCTGTTTGTTGCGGGACTACGCAAATGAGGTAGGCATGGTTTGTGTTTGTATAGCTCCTTACACATTGACTGTATAGAGAAAGTAAGCAGTGATGAAATACACAGTCCTCAGCTAAGAGCTCTTAGCTCCTGTGGTTTTCATGTACTTGCTCATCTCTTTTTGTCCTTTCAGCAGCAACTCCACCACCTTTACTTAATCATGTAAGAGTTACGAAGCATCTAATGCTGAAAATGAGTCTCAAGAAAAATTCTAAACTTTGGGTGTTTGCAGAATTAGTTCTTCGTTGTCTCTCCTCTCTCACAGTTGAGCTATACTGATATTTTCTGTACTGTTTCCTCTGCTTGGAGGCATGAACAATATTGTTAGTTTCCAGTCTCGTCCTGTCCCCATGCCCCCTCCAGTCATAGAAGAATCTTTAGGGGCAAAGGAAACAAACCATAATCAGAACTTCTCAAAGATTTAGCATTTTCTCTTAGTTGCTTCATGACTGTTCTACTGGTTACATAAAACTTCATTCTTCAAGTGGCACCTGTAGATCCTTCCAGTTCAAAGTATTCTAGTCCTTTTATGCCCAGGGAAAAGCCCAACTTTTTACCTATATTTTCCATGCAAAATTTAGAAGAAAATGTGCTCAAAGGTGGCTAGACTTCCCACTGAAATGAAGTCTGTTTAATCCCTTTTGAAATGTGAATTGTTTGAGGAATGTCAGATAACAGGTCCTTGGTCAACAGAGCCGAGCTGGAGGTAGGCAGGCAGGCAGGCAGAAAGCAGCAGCCCAGCTTGGCAGGGACGTGTGTAGGAAGTGGGAGGGAGGGGGCCTTATCTTCCTAGCCAAGCTTTGAGCCTTAAACCACTTCTTGCTTCCGAAGCGGTTAGCAAATCCCACCTATCCTGTGTTCGGAGGAAGGCTGAGACAATGGATTCTCAGCAAGCCTGCAGTGATACGGGATGGTGCCCAGGGCTTTGGAGGCCTTGAAGGAAAAGTTCAGGAACTCAGACATCTCTAATGGGGTGTAGGCAAAGAATAGGTTTTGTCAAATTCTTTTATCTGTAAAATGTTTCTCACTTTGCAGGCCTAATGCAATAGATAGTTCTTCCTGATAACACTTTAAAGGTATATAAATTAACTATGATAAAAAAAAAAACAGAAATAAAACGTCACTGCTCTTGTAACCTTCAAATTCTTCTCTGTCAGCTGCAATACATTATTAGAGAATGTTTCTGGTGTAGTTTGATGGCTGCTGTTAATCAAGATGGTTACACCTAAATGCTTGAATTAGTTGCTTTTGAAAGCCTAACTGCCGACAGCATTGTATGTCTTCTGTTCCTTAAGACCCCAGAACATGATTCACTAGTGGCACAGTTCAAAGGTACATTTGGGAGTTTATAAGCGAAGGAATAGAGTTCTGAGGCACACTGGTAGACATATGCAAAACTGTCCTGAAAACTTTACCAAAATTGGGTTTTGAAACAGGTTTTATGCCATTTAGAAGTGCTGCAGGTGCCTCAGTCCTTAGAAGCTGGTATTTTGGAGCCACCTTCCGTCTGTTTAACATTACTACACTACAAGACTAATTTATGTTTTGTGGTGCTAGTTAAGCATCAGAAGACCACGGATTTATGCCTTGGTATCGTTCTTGCTCTTTTTAACTAGTGATGTTTCCTCCAGAGTTTTATACACTGTGGTCCCTCAGTCTGTGGTTTTCACTACCTCAGGTAGGTTAATCTGTTCTAAGAAATCTACCTCCCCAGATGATTTTCAGCCCTCTGCAGATTTTGTCTGCTGCAGAAGGTGCCACTTGAGTGGGAGTAGAGCTCCTCTCTGTGGACACTTGCCAGAAGCTGCCTGTGCTTGATAGGGAGAAACAACTGGCTAAGACCAATTCAGGGCTTCTGATGTAGAAAGACACTGAAGGAAATCTCTTCTGTAGCAGGTATGATCTATTTTGATAATGTGGCAGCTATTGATTTTTATTATTTAGACACTAACCTCATTAGAGTTGAGCTGAGAAGGTGTAAATGCGGTAACACTTTCAATTCTTTCCACAGACAGTACTACTGGTATGATGAGCGGGGAAAGAAGATCAAGTGCACTGCTCCTCAGTATGTTGACTTCGTCATGAGTTCAGTGCAGAAGCTAGTGACAGATGAGGACGTCTTTCCAACAAAATACGGTATGTTCACCTTTGGACAGTTCCTCCAATGAGTCTTTGCAAATGCTACAAATAGGTGAAAGTTGGCATTCAGTGTATTGTTAAGTTCAGAGAACTTCCTCAAAATCTTTTTGAAAGCTAGATGCATTCTTTTGCAGTAAGACCTGTACTGTTGGCATATGAACTGGGGTGAAATCTTGTGATGCTCTCTCCCTTTAGCTGATGGTTCATCATCAGTACATTCTTTTCTCAACATTTTGAGATCTTCTAGGATCTGGTCTTGTCTTGCAGATTGTTTAAGCCCTCTCTTCCCCCCTCCTTTTTCTTTTAAGAACTGAAAAGCATCAGAGGAATGTAATGTTAGCTCAAACTTGTTAGATAACAAATTTGCTATGTGCGATGTCTTTGATTAAGGAAATGAAGTTACTATGGAAAAAGAAGTTACCACTGTCATTGACCTTAATCAGAGCTTAAAAACAGCTAGCTGGAGTCCCTTCAATAGATAACTGAGGAACTAATATGTACAATAGAGTAAATATTAATTTGGTATTCTTTATTTGTAAACATCTGGATCTGGAAGGAGGTATACAGTGCACTGTATGCCAGCTGCTGTTGATCTTTTGTTTAGCATATGCTTTGTAATTTGCTTGTTCAAGGACAATAAGGGTCTTTCACATGACTGCTTGCCAATGTGGCCAAGGTGCACTATAGACCACTCAGATCCTGTTGTGCATCACAGCACAGGATAGTGACTTTTGCTTTTCTGCTTGCATGAGTTTTGTTTTCAGTGTCACGAAACAGTAGCTGTCTGACATTGGCCATTCTGCTGCGTTAGTGTGTACAATTTGGACTGTACCTAACTATATATACCCAGCAGATTTTCTTGCTCAGTATTTCCTTCTTTACCCACTTGATAGAATTTTAGAAATGAGATGAATCAAGTAGTTATATAAAGTTATGCTGAGTGCTGAACCCTACACCAAACCTACATGCATTAGGTTCCACTGCACTACCTGTGAATTGGTTTCCCAAGTCTTTCTTCTCTCTGTGGGTAAAACGTGCCACGCCACTCCTGGACCAACTGGATGAAGACCTGGAACAACTACTCATTGTTGTGTACCCATTGTTAACAAAAGTGTTGTGGTTTTAAAGCATCATTACATTTGCCTCCTTATTTTTTGAACCCTTAGGGTTTAAAAGATTAACTTCCAATGAAGTCCAACTTTAGATTCTTTTCCCTGAACTCTTGTAAAATAAATATGCTTTGAAGGCAGTACAGTGCCAGTGATCTGCCTGCTCTTCTAGATGGATTAGTTGCACTTACCTGCAGCACTTACCATCAGAAATGCTGCTTTAGGGCTGAAGGTGACCAGCTGGAGCTCTCATGGTGTCTCTCTGTCTTCTTGCAGGCAAAGAATTCCCAAACTCATTTGAGTCCTTAGTGAAAAAGATCTGCAAGTACCTGTTCCATGTGCTGGCCCATATCTACTCCTCACACTTTAAGGAGACTTTGGCACTGGAGCTGCACGGACATTTAAACACACTCTACACACACTTTATCCTATTCATCAGGGAATTCAACCTGGTGGACCCTAAAGAGACCACCATCATGGACGACCTCACGGAGGTCCTCTGCAGCAGCAGCGGGAGTAGCAGTAACGGGAGCGGCAATGGGAGCAGCAACAGCGCAGGAGCACAGAACCACGTGAAAGAGAGATGAGCCTTCCTACAGGATCAAAACTAACATTAAAGACAATATTATATATTTTGTATGTATATGTTCAGATATACATACAGGCATACACAACAATGAAAGCTGAAAGAAATTATGCTGCCACCACAGGACGTGTAGTCATATGGGACTGTACGGAGCTTTGGTTTAATGCCAGCTGGCGAGAAGTTGCACCAATCTTATTTTATTTTCTGTCCACTCCTTCTACCTGTTCAGATGGATGATGAGTGCTGTTTTTAGAGAAGAGCCAAGCTTGAGAGTGGGGCCACTCTTACTTTTGTTTTGTTTTTGTTTTGGTTTTTCTTTCTTTGGTCTTGAGTGCAAGCCCTCTGTCTTTCCAGGATGGTGGTCCTGGCATTTTAAAAATATCTATTATATTATAAGAAGTGACTTTTACTTTGAAGTGGCTTAAAAATGCAGATTTGTTTGTTTGTTTTTGGGGGCGGGGGGTTGTTTTTTTTGGTTTGGTTTTACATAGACTGCCCCTCCCCATGCCAAAAACTCCTCAGTCAAGTGCATCTTGCCCTTTGCTAGCTTGGAATGGGAAGAAACTCCTGGCTTGACTAGAGTAGCAGCTATTGGGTTGCTACAGGTTGAGAGTGGGTGTGATCCTCCAGTTGTCCCCTCTACCTGGCCACAACCCGTGAACATGCAAGATGATCCACAAGCCTTTCTGCTTATTGCTCCTACAACATATATACTCTCCTCTCTGCTTCCCCCTGTCCTGCCTCCTGTTCCTGCAGGCACATACCTCTGTGAACAATAGCAGTAAGAAAGATCACTGGAGTCCAAAACCCATGTGCAAGGACCATCACCATTTGCTTCCCAGTGAATGGAGGCCCCAGGGGGGAGAAGGGTACATTGGAGTCAGTCCACCACCTGTGCTAGAAAGATGGCTGTTGGCATAAAATTATATTGTTGGCTTATTTTAGTTCATCTGTTCTATGATAATAAAAACAAATCTATCAGCCCTAAGCTTTGTTCTTGTGTTTGCAGCGTCAAAAATCTCTTTTACCACTGAATGCTGTTAGTCCCATTTTCAACTAGCTTTAGAAACAATTCTGTTTCTTCCACCCCGTAAACTAGCAGTTCTAATCAATTCCTTATGCTTTCCATAGTGCTAGGAGATGAACTCCTCCACAGGTAACTGCAGATAAGCAATATATAGAAAAGAAGGGAAAGTTGCCTGTTTCATTACATACTTGATTCTCCTGCGTATTTTGTGGCAGATGCTGTATGGATCTGGACAATGATACCACTTTTTCCTTCACATTTCCTTTTTTTGTGGCAGTCAGGATTTCCAACTGGGAAAATGCAAGATTTTTGCTTGAAACTGTGTTTCTACCAAATCTGCTGAAAATAGTCTCTGAGAACTACAAGCAAGTGCCAAAGGGGGGGAGGGGGAATGAGAGGGAAAAAAGAAAAAAAAGAGAGAACCAAGAAAAAAACATAAAGGGTAAGAAAAAGAGTGAGCAAAGTAAAAGCAGACAAGTAAAAGGAGATAAAAAAAGGTGCAAAGGTTGGGGAAAGGAGGAAGTCGTGAGCATGAGAAAAAACGGCAAAAATGCATACCAAGAGGGAGGAAAAAAAAAAAAGGTGAGAGAGTATGAGGGAAAGGGACCTCACCTCTACAAGTCCACATTTATCCACTGTTTGTCTGCAAATGGTTGTGTCCTGTGTAATTGCAGACAGACATCCATCTCTTGCTGACCTTCTCATCTGGGTACCATTAACAGGCCATCTGAGAGCATCTCTTCCCCACCCTGTCCTCCTGTGCCGCCTCCATATGTAGATGCTCCCAGTCATTCTTCTACTACACATCCCCTACACTAATGTCTAAAGGGAAAAGCTTAGTCATTCTTCGGTTTCTCAGTGGTCAAATAAAAGCCATCAGTGAGATCAAGGCCATTTATAAGGCCTCGGGGCTGCTTTCCATCTGACAATGAGCGCATACAGTGGGATCCAATCACAAGACTAATGTAAGAAAGCAACAGAAAGGACTGTTACCACAAAATAAGTTTCTTAGAATTTATTATCTGCTTGTAAAAGTCAGATTCCTAATTTTAAAAGGCTATTTAGACATACATTTTGGGGAGATTTTTTTTGACTTGAACACAATAGAGCTAAAATCTCTGGTGAAAATGGCTTAGCTGGAATGATACTCAGTTTCAGACCACAACATTAGAATAAACGACCTTACCTTCCCCAAAGAGAACTGTTAGAGCCTACAGCATGACTGGGACTCGATTTTTTTTTAAATGCAAAGCATCGAACCCAATATTAATTCAGCTACCATGAGCACAGTAATGTGCCACATTACCTCTAAAGGAGCAAACTTGTTGACAGCTGCTGTGCTAAGTCCAGCTGCGGACATCCGATGCTCTTGAAAGCACATAAACTTAATCTAACAGGATAATATTTATATATTTTGCAACTGGTTAAGGAGAAAATAAATGCTATTGTAATGTAGTCCATCTTGTTTGTTTAGCAATGAAAATGAAGAAAATACTGAAATCACTGCCAGCACTACTGACGTTCTTGTCAGGGTAAATGCTACTTAGAAAGATCCACCTCAAGGCATCAAAGCACAAATCAGCAGTTACTGAACTATGTTATAGTAACACTAATGATCTAGGACCTGCTAAGTCTGCAAACCTGTTCTTTTGTGCTAAAGATGATGCAGTACACACCAACTGTTTCAGGTGATCTAGAAAAAAAATAGACACATAAACACCTGCCTCCTCACCTCCCCGGATAGATACAGTACTCTGTGAATGCTTGAAGACATGATGCACAATGGACAATTTCCCTGATGATCTAACTCCTGTAAAAAAAAAAAAAAAAAAGGCAGGGCAGGGAGGAGAGAAAGCACCTTGGTAAGCGCTAGGAAGCCTTAAAAACTGCCATTAGCTATTCATACCAGCTCTGTACTATAGTAGTCACATGCTCACCAGCTCTATACAGTGAGAAGAACCTGCATCATTCCAACTCTAGAAAGTAAGGTAGGAGTAGCAAGATGTAAATCAAACATCTAATTTGCACTGCAAAATCAGATGCACATGCTTATTTCTTGACTGAGAACTGTGGAAAGTTAACTAATCAAGTCTGAGGTACCACAAATGACATTCTCTTTCTATGTTTGAGCAACAATCGTTTAACTGAGAAGCTGGAGAAAAATTTGCTTTGTTACCGAATGCTTTCATGATAAGTGCATCTGAACATAGAGCGTTGTAGTCCAGGTCTGAGCGATCACCAGTTCTATCCAAATGTGCACATACTAGGCTGCTACTGGAACTGATCAGTAGCCTGAAGACAGACGCTATCGGATAGTATCACCTGATCAGGCAACTAAAAGTCTGTCAAAGAAACATTTGATACCATTCAAAAAAAAAAAAAAAAAAAAACAAGCCAGTTCTAATGGAGCTCACTGAGAACACTGATCATGCTCATACAAAGCCACACTTCAGCAAACAACACTTCAGTCAGCTGTCATGTAACTTGTACAATCCATAGCTCGCTAGTTCATCTGTTAACTGAAAGACTAAAATCCAGAAATACATTGTCCTTATTTATACTGAGGACTGAGAAAGAGGTGGTTGTTTTATGCCCAAACCTGCTCAGCAAATGGAGCCAATGTTTACACCCATTGCACAAATGTCTATGTTACTAAGCTACCCAGGCTAAAGCAAGCTCTATGCCTCAGGCACTGGCAGCAGTTGCAGTAGAGTTCAGTATGGCTAAACTACCTGTGCAGCGGGGCGATACTAGCACACATATACAAGGGCTGTACCTTAATACAGAACGATAAAGCTGCTATCTTTACACGCTGTGGCTGCAGAATAGACACGTCCTGACATTCCACACAGGTCCAAAAATGAAATAAAATAAGCAAGATGATAGATAACAAAGCTGCCACAAAAACACTCAT